CTGTCTAAGCTGTATTCTGATAATTCAGAGGTCAAAAGAACATCCTATAGTGTAAATGAATTTTAAACACGGGATATCTCAGTAATCATCTCTCTTTGAAATGTCCTGTGAATGGTGGAGAAAGGAGCAAATGGCCTTATGTTAATTGGTGTAGCTAAGTACCAGTGATGGACCTCCTTCAAAATCATCCTAATTACTTTTTGTTCCCTGAGGAATTCCGACTTGTCAAAAGACATGAAATTGCATAAAAGATCCTTGGGACCTGATTCTGTCATCTCAGATCTGCTTTGACTTCATCAGGGGAAGTTTGAGTCGTAAGACTGATGTTCCAGTTATGCTGGTATGCCCTGAATATGAGTTTTGGACATTGGACTATAGCCTATGAACTGAATTCTAAAGGAACTCTTTGCAACTATGAAGCTCACCACCTCTGCTATGAATCTGCACCTGAATGAATTGAACTCATGTCTGTATGTATATTGATATTTTAACCACACTCTCTCTACTTTGTTTTTTAATAAATTTTAGTTAATAAGAATTGGCTGTAGTGTGTATTTGGGTAAGATCTGAAACATTCATTAACCTGGGAGGTAATGTGTCCAATCCTTTGGGATTGGTAGAACTTTTTATTTTATACGATGAAATAAGATTTACAGAAATTTTCATCATATTTGACATAGGTATCTGTATGGAGGCCTCAGGCTGGACCACTTTAAGGGAACTGTTGTTGTTTGGACTTCTGAGTAACCAGTAAGGTAATAAAGAAGCTGTTTTATGCTGTCTTGGTAAATCTAGGTATTGGAATATCCACCAGCTTTTTGGGGATTGTCTACCCCATTCTTTGCAGTTCACCCTAATTGAGTGACCACAGCTGGCCCCCACTGGGACCCCGGTCACAGAGGTGCTGGAAGGGGGAAGAACTGATTGGTTGAGCCTGCTGAACAGCTGATCGGTGGTTGGCTGCTGGTGGGTGCTGAGCATCCACTATTTTTTTTCTGTGGGTGTTCCAGCCCCAGAGCACCCACGGAGTTGGTGCCTATGCCCCTGCTGCTCCCCTTGGAAGGCGGTTGCAGAACTTCACTCCTCTGAAGGGTAGAAACTTCCCTCTAATTTCAAGCCTAAACTTGTTGACGGCCAGGTTATATCCAGCATTGGCCCTTAACTTAAATACCTCTTTTCCCTCCCTAGTGTTTGTTCTCTATAAATACATCAGAGGGATAATCATGCCATTTTGTAAGGCTAAACAAGTCAAGCTCTTTGAGTCTCCTCTCATAAGGTAGGTTTTTCATTCCTCGGATCATTCTAGTAGCCCTTCTCTGCACTTGTTCCAGTTTGAATTAATCTTTCTTCAACATGAGATCAGAACTGCACACACTATTCCAGATGAGGCCTTACCTGTGCCTTGTACACCTCTACCCCGATATAACGCTGATCTCCGGAGCCAAAAAATCTTACCGTGTTATAGGTGAAACCGCGTTATATCGAACTTGCTTTGATCCACCGGAGTGCGCAGCTCCTCCCTCCCCCGGAGCGCTGCTTTACTGCGTTATATCCAAATTCGTGTTATATTGGGTTGCGTTATATCGGGGTAGAGGTGTATAATAGTATTAACGCTTCCCTGTCTCTACTGGAAATACCTCGCCTGATGCATCCTAGGGTTGCATTAGCCTTTTTTATGGCCACATCACATTGAAGTGAAACTAGATATTCTAGTGTGACAGAATACACTCCTGTATTCACACCCTACACACTATTGTAATCTCTGTACAAGGTATGCCTTGTAAGGGATCATTTGAAAACTCATAATTTGCTGGTCAGTATTGTCCTGTTAAAATGTGTGGCAACACTGTATGTAAAGTTACAAAATTCCCCTGTATGGTGTTAACACATGTTCCAAACCCCACAACCCTGCCCAAGCAGAAGAGATTTGTTTTGAACAAAAGAGTGTGTTTGCCTTAATTTGCATGTAAGCAGTAAACAGAGTCGGCAAGCAGGAAGGGGAAACAAAGGCAGCTCAAACAGGTGAAAAAGAAACAGCAGGGAACATCCTTCCACACAAACTTTGTCTCCTAGTGCCCAGCTGGAAATGGGTTTTCAAGAGCGGGAACTGAAACTATAAAAAGAAGGGGTAAACAGCCCAAGGCAACCCCCGCCCCACCCCCGTGTGTGTCCCTGTTTGTCTGGCATAGGAAAACAGCTGTTGGACTCTGAGTGGTGGGGGTGGGGTCCTGACCTGAAGAGTCTGGTCAGTAACCATGCTGGAAGCATGTGGTGAGAAATTTTGCTTGACTCTAATATAGCTTAATTTAGGCCCCAGTAAGCAATTTATCTTTATTTTTCTTGTAACCATTTCTGACTTTTATGCCTCATTGCTTGTACATACTCAAAGTCTAGCTCTTTGTAGTTGATAAACCTGTTTTTATTGCTTTATCTAATCCAATGGGCTCAAGCTGAAGTGTCTGGGTAACTCTATTTAAGATAATAAGCTGGCATATTATTCCTTTTAAAGGAATAATGGTCTTAATATATTTTGCACTCTCCAGCTGAGGGCTGGGCAACACAGGACATACATCTCTGGGGGCAGACGGAGGGCTGGGGGTGTGCAGGGCTCACCTTGCAGTGTAACCAAGACTGGTGAGAGCCAGAGTGTAGCTGGCTGGAGCGGTCCTGGGGGGAGCTACTTCAGCAAGGCATTGGAAGGTACCCAAGGTTGCAGGGCAGGGGGGACACAGCCCCTGCTCCCCAGCCTAGATTGTGCCCTGGTATGTCATATAGAGGGATAATGGAAACATGGTGGACTAGTAGTGATGACTGCAGCACAGGTATTGAAGGGTGTGTGTTGTTCAGTAAAGACAGCCGTAAAGGTGGTGTGGCATTGTATGTTAACAATGAGGTAGACTGTAAAGGAACTAGAAGAGAAGGAATGGATAAATACAGGAAAACACATCTTTCCATGGGGCCTCGCCAAGGGGAGTTCGTACTGCATTCTCTCACACGGCTCCCTGCGCCCTCAGGTTTCTTTATACTGCAAGTTCCGCAAGGGAAACCAAGGAGGAGAAGTGACTTGCCCGAGGCTCAGCGGCAAAGCCAGGAAGAAACCCAGGTCTCCTGACTCTCAGTCCAGTGTCCTATCCATGTGACCCTGCCACCTGCTTCTCCGGGGCTGATTTGACCTATGCCAGGTACCACGCCAGCCCCTCGAGCAGCATGGCATCTGGAAGGCACAAAGCTGGCTTAGAGCCATCCCTGCCTGGCTCTGAGAGGGGCAGCATAGAAACTGTCCCAATGTCTTCAGGGGGGTAACTTCCCCCTTGCTCTATTAGCCCCCTTCTTCCCATCTCTGCTGTCCCTCCCTTTCTGCTGGCATCCGCAAGCCCATCCCCTCTACGCTGCTCCCCCTCACACGTGCCATGCTCTCCCCTGCCCCTCCCACTGCAGCCCATCAGCTTTGCCACTCTCAAGAGATCAAAAATCATGAGATTGGCCCTCCAAATCATGAGATTTTAAAAAAAGATTACACTGGGGGGGAGGGTTGCTCCATCTTTTGATGAACTCCCCCTGACCATCTCTAGTGTGTGTGAAATAATTAGTGGGGAGTCAAGGAAACAGCCACCCAGGCAGGAGAGCCCATTTGGTCAGGGCAGCCAGCTGTGGGGCAGGTGGGTCTCTCTGCTTCCTTGCGTGCCTTTAGGCTCCCAGCATTATTTACAGGGAGCTGGGATCCCTGGGCTGCTTTAAAATGGCTACAACAGTGCTATAGCCAGAGTCCATGTCAGGGGCCTGGTTTTCAGGGGCATTCTGCCCCCCCATCCCCAGCTGCCACTTTAGCAAAATAAGGGATGTTAAACTGGGTGGAAACAGAAAGAGGCTTCTGGGATTCCCCATGCACTGGGGGAGTGCCCACTGGCATGGCACTGAACTATGGGATCTCTGCTGGCCTGATCCCAGGCCCGTTTCAGGAGGTGGATCAGGGCAAGGCCAGGGAGAGCTGTGTGTGAGAGCAGCCCTGAGGCTGCTCTAATTTACATCAGGGCCAGAGGCTGCTCTAATTTACATCAGGGCCAGGAAGGACTCTGCACTTCCCCAGAATACATGGGACCTAATTTTCCATTACCCTGGTCATTTGCAGTAGTGCAAAGTAGGTGTCAATCACTATCGTCAGGATGGCAGCATTCACGCCCACTGTGCACAAGATGCGAGGCCATGGAGTATGAGGCCCTGAAGTACAAAGGTGGCTTAAAGCTACCTTAACACCCTGTCTCAAATACAAGGACAGAGTGATGGAGAATCAGGCCCCAGGTCTCTACGTCGCCTGAGGGGTACAAATCTGGGCCTATACCAGAGACTGAGCTACCCCAACCGTGGCAGGCATGGGAGAAGGCTAAGGAAGGGATGAGCCTTGGGAAATTAGCAGGGAGGTGGGAGAGGGCAGGCCATGCCTGGAAAAGTGGGAACTGGGGTGGGGCTGGCAGTCCAGCAGGGGGACACTAGTGGGCTCTAAACTAAAGGCAGGCCTAGGAAGTGATGACACAATGCTGCTATGTAGGGTGAATTTGGAGTCTGTCCTGTCAGCCAGCCTGGGTTCCACATGGATCCAGGCTGGCCACACCAGCTTCCCCCTCCACAGAATTCAGTGCTTCCATTGACACTTGCCCTTTGGCATGCTGTTGTGCCCCACGCCTGGACATGGATGCCGAGGTGCATGCAGCAGTCCTGCACACATGCTCCCCCCCAGCCCTGCACACACCAGCACTACACATATACACGCACCCACCAGTGCCACAAGTGCTTGCACGCAGAAGCCCTGCACAGGTACCTCAGCTCAGTCCACACACCAGCGCCCCTCCCTGCATGCATCAGCCCCACTAACGCAAACACACATACCAACCCTGCTCATTTGTGCATGCCACAGCCATGCACACAACCCCACTCCTGTGCACAAGCCTCACACCCCAAAGGCACAGCAGCCACTGCACAAGGGGAAGCTCTCAACCCCCTGCCACGAGGTTAGTTGTTTTTAATCACAAGCTAAAAAGGAAGTGAGGTAACAAGACTGAGGGTGAGAAAAACATACAAACCACAGACTGCCTAGAAGAGGGGCTGGGAGACTGGCTTACGGCTGGGGGGTTAGACATGGGCTGGGCGGTTGGGGGTGTAGTATCCCTCAGGCCTGTCTGTCAGGCAGGAGCGTAGACACCAGAGAGGTGATTGCCAGGGTGCCCAGGGAGGCGGCCACCAGAGTGCCCCGTGAGAAGGGCTGTGTGTTCCTCCTCAGCCACTCGTACTCCTCCTCCAGCTGGCGTCTCTGCAGCTCTGGTCCCACGCGCTGGCGGATGGTCTCATAGTAGGTGTTGAGATACTGGATCTGCAACCAGACAGGAGAAGGCCATGAGCGGTAGGTGTGATGGGCAGCTCCAGCCTGCCCCGAGAGCACCCACTCACCTGGTCCTCAGACAGGAAGCTGATGTTGATGAGGTTCCGGTCATAGGGCACCAGAGACACCACCTCGAAGGTCAGGTAGGCCTTCTCCCCTGCCCCATGCTGCAGCAGGAGAGAGAGAGTGAGGGTACTGAACCCACCACCCTCACCAGGCTGCTGTTTACACTCTGCCAGCCCTCCTGAGCTCTGACCTCCTCCTCCTCATGGTGTGTCATGGCCCCAGAGCCACAGCCTCTCCTATCTGCCACCACATCCCTCACTTGCTGCCGCGTGTCATGCAGTGTCTAGCTCTGTGCCACATGGTTAGTACACTGGCATGAGAGACACTCCCCACTCCCCTGTGGCCAAGGGAAAGGTGCACAAAGCTAAAAACCCACATGTGGGGGTTTCTAATCCCAGCGCCTCCTCCACTGACTGGTCTCCATGCCCTTCACTACCTGCACCCTCCTCTCTCCCCCCACCAAAGCATCTCCCCATTTTGCAGATGGGACAAGGTCACTGTAGACCCCCAGTCCCAGCCCCTGGGCCAGCTGCCTTGTAAATGGCTGGGCTGGAGCAGCTCCCTGTGTGACACATTGTCCCACCCATGGCTAGAGCTCACCGCGGTTTGTGAGGCTGCTGGTGGGCCCTGTGGTGTCACTCAGGCACTAGAGGCACAGGCTTACAGCTGCCCCGAACTGGGTGCACCTGGCTTTGCTGTCTCTGGTCACTGGAGAGGAAGGCTGGCCCAAGGGTTTGGCATTAGCCAACATGGGAGACCTGGGAGTCAATTCCCTGCTTTGCCACACACTCCCTGTGTGACTTTGGCTATGTCCCTTAGCTGCCACTGTTACAAGCTCTGATTTGGGTGGGTCACAGCCTCTCCCCCTGCAATTAGCACCCAGGCCTCTCCCACATGTGAGCCAGTGTGGACCTCCCTCCCTTCCCTCTAGCAGTGGCAAGAAGACAGAGCATTTCCCTACTGTTGGTAACCGCACCCCCCACACACACACCCAGCCCAATCGGGGCGAATGGGGCATGGCTTAGTGCAGAGGCCAGTGCCTAATGGGGATGCTCAGTGTTGCTTATCTGGGGCCAGCAGGCAGCATGGCTGGAAGCAGGGCATGCAGGGCCTAGCAGAACAGCCCTTCCCTGCAGGCAAAGTAGGGGAAACTGCTCCTTCCTCTCTTCCAGCCTGGCCTCAGGGAAGGGGCCAACTGGCCAAGCCTTGCTGACCACTCATGGACAGCCAGACTCCCTGGAGCACATGTGTACAGCCAGCCCTGCAGCTCTCTCCAAGCAACTCTGTACTGGAGCTGCTCAGCGCTCAGGGACTCCAGAGCAAATGGGCTCAGGGGACAAGGAAAAGGGGGTTCCCCTGGTGGCTGGTTCTGCAGACTCCCTGGGACCTCTCCAGCCCATGCATCATCACCGGTATCTGACCCAGCAGGGGCATCCCCCTACATACAGCTCCAGGGAACCATCGTACAACTGGACTCCGCTATCAGTGCTGCGTGAATGGGACTAGACATCAGCTCCCTCTCCGCAGCCTGTGAGTCACTGCAGTGACAGCTGGGAGCAGCTCTGGGGTGCTGTGGCTATTTTGTCAGTCATGATTTTTGGCCCTTGCCTGAGCTATGATCCCTTCACTCCCCTTCCCTTCCCAGGGTGTACTTGTGAAAGGAGCCATCACACCTTTCCCACTGCAGGCCCCTTTGCTGATCCCAGTCTGGGCTCTGCTGTGACCTGGCCTGGAAACAGCTCTGCTCCCTGTCCTCTTCCTTTCCTAGCTCTGACTCCTTCCAGTGCCTCGCTCCCCTTGGCCCCAGTCCAGCCCCCAGCCCAGTGAGCTGTGCTGAAGAACTGCCTTCCCAGCAGTGCAGCGTCACTGCCATGGATCCGGTCCCACCTACATAGTGGCTCCCTTTCGGGATCCCACCATGTTCCTTTCTCCAGCTCCTGCTCCTTGCTCCCTGGCGTTGCCCCTCCGCTCACTCCCAAGCCGACTCGCCCATGCCTTTCCACACCTCGCTGCCTGTCTGGGTCAAGCTTACAGGGCTGTTTCTCCACTTCCTGTGGCTGGACGGCTGAGACAGATGTGATTGCATTGAGCAAGAGGTGCCTACCCTGTCACAGCTCACTGCCTCTCCCTTCCGACGTGGTTCCATTTGCCACACTTCCTACAGCCCTGTGTGGCCTGTCCTGCTCTCACACCTGGGGCTGCCAAGCCTCCATAACACCACCCAGGGGTGAGGGCTACTCCTCTCGGCTCCTGCTCTGCACACAATGTGCTCTGAGCTGTGATCGGCTCCATCCCAGCCCGCGCCGCACCCTCCACGTCCGTGCTGCAGCCTCTCTCAGGGATGCTGCCAAAGTGGCACCGAGTTCACTGATACTGGTGCAGCCCCATGTGTGGATCCCTTATGAGGCTTAGAAGACCCACGCTGACTCAGTGGCATTGGTTTAACACATGGCTTTAAAATCACCCTGTTGGCTAGCACCAGGAGACCAAATCCAGCTGGACAACTATCTGGTCTCCCTGGTGCCCTGCCTAGCGCCCCCCCTCCCACCAGGTGATGGGTGCAGCGGGGCACAAGGGTTTTCATCTTGCACACATGCCATGGGGCCCCATCCCACCTCACAGACCCTGGCACACACAGCCGGGCCATGCTGATCCTGCAGCCAGCAAGCTGAGCTCTTTGATGATCTGCCCAAGAACATGAATAAGTCCACACTCAGTCTCCTGTGTGTTCAGAGATTCACAGGCCAGAAGGGACCATTGTGACCATCCAGTCTGATCCCCTGTATCGCACAGGCCAGAGACCTGCCCCAGAATAATTCCTAGAGCAGATCTCTTAAACATCCCTGGCCTCACACACCCTTCCCCAAGTCATTGCTAAGCGGCTGGTAGGGAACTGTCATCAGCTGTCTCCCAGCTAAGCCCTCAAATCCCTTTGCCCTCACCCGGTCTCCAGGTCTGGCCCAGCTCTCTAGAACTGAGGGAGAAAGTGGGGGGAAGGAGGGGAAGGGAAGGTGGCTGCCGACTGATGATGAGTCAGCAAAGCCTGTCCCATCGAGGCAAGGAAGATGAGTCACCTTGGTCTGAGCTTCCACCACCAGTGCCACGTCTTCAATGCGGATTCCAAACTCACCCTCCTGGTAATAACCGGGCTCTGGGGAGCAGACATGGGGAGGCCAGTGAATCCAGAACCCTGACAACCCTGTAACTGGGGTCTTCCACACACCCTTGGGATCACAGAGCTCCAGCTGCATGATCCCCACTTTGCCAAATACCTCCAGGCCACATGCTAGACACCAGGGCCCTGTCCCACAGCACTACCCCACACCCCCTAGCCCTGGCAAGAGCCTAGGACTGCCATGGGAATGCATGGGGTCTGGGAGATTTCATGGAGGGCGATGCTCCCTGAGATTAGAAGGCACAAGAGCCCACGTCTTGGGGCACAGGGGTATTGGAAGTTCCCGGGGTGTGGAGGGGCGGGGGTTGTGAGGGACACACGTACCTATGGACGTGAACATCCCTTTGACCAAGGGCATGTTGTTGGACTGGAATCCCACTGGCCCTGCAGGGAGAAGATGCCAAGTTTATTTCTCCTTCTGGATGCTGGAGCAGGATGAGCCCTGAGACTGGAGACATCCACTCCCTCCTCCACAAGTAGGATCTATTGGAGAGATGGCTGCACCTTCCACATGCATAGGGCCTGGGGACCTGTGCTTATCGTGCATCTACCCAGAGCCCAGCATGCTTAGCAACCCTCGCTCCCTGGGACCCCCAGACGATTCCCTCCACTGGGCCTCTCAGGCCAGCCAGGCATCCGGCAGGCTGAGCTGCTACACTGCCCAGCCATCGGTATCCTCCAGGCCCTGTAATGACAGGTGCTGTGCTCCCTGGGGCCATGACGAAGTCACTGGGCAGGTGTGGGGCATCCAGTTGCCAGCAGGGGATTGAGAATTCTCGGTGGGCAGCCACCACTGGTGTAGGGCGCCTCTATCCCAGACACTGGCCGAGCAATGGGAGCAGGGAGACAGGGGAGAGGCAGAGCTGTTGGCGCAGCTCCCCTGTGCCTGTCCAGTCCAAACGCACAGGGATAGGAGTGAGAGCCAAGAGAGCACAGGCCCTTGTGCTGTTTCCCTTGGGGACAGGCAACCAGCAGAGCACCTACACTCATGGACAGACAGAAAATTGCCAATGCCATGGCCAGTCCCGTGGCCGTAGTTGAGTCCAACCTCCCACAAGGCTCGGCGTGCGAAGGCCTCAACCACTCTCCCTGAAACACAAAAAGCCAAGAAGTCCTGAGAGGAGAAGCCATGCCCATCCCCAGTGTGCCTGCCTGCGTAGCAGAATGCTAAACTATATTATACTGTTCAGCCACTGGGTGTCGCTGTGTGTGTACTACCTTGTTTAAGCTAACCTTAGCCATACCTGGCAGAGCACTAAAGGATCTTACTGTGACCAGGGCTGGTGTGTCTCTCTCTGGGAAGGAAGCTCTGTGGCCAGTCAATAGCTGTACAGAAGCTTGACCTGCTAGTAGCAGCCCTGCTGCTATGTACAGGAAGTACATGACATGGTGTCAGAAGTAAACTAATGCCAGAGAAGAACAAACAGAAGGAAAGATTGCAAACAGAAGGAAAAAAGGAGGAAAGGTTGCAGGATCTCATCCACATGCCATTCTTCAATGCCCCTGAGAACTTCAGCTTTGACAAATGGACAGACTGGAAGCAGTATTTTGGAAGATTTCCAATTGCTACAAATTTATTTATTAATTAATCTTTAATTTACACTGTGGGGAAGCAGACAGAGCATATCTTTAAATCCTTTGACTTTACTGAAGCCAGTCACAAAGATGACGAAGAAAGGGCTCTGGCTATATTTGATGCATACTTTATACCTCAGCAAAATGTGGCTCATGAAAAAGCACATTTTCACCAGAGAATTCAAGGACCAGGGGAAAATGGTGGATGTTTTATAAGAGCTCTGCATGCATAGGCTGAAAACTGTGATTTTGGAACTGCAAAACATGAAAATATCAGAGACAAACTGGTTACGGGGGTAACAGATAAAAATCTTTCATAGCAGCTACAACTGAAGCTGACTAGCTGTAGCTACAGATAACAAAGCACCCTGAACTAGTCAAACAGCAGAACAAAAGGCTGGAGCATCTTCAGAAACCTGAAACTAGTTTAGACACTGGTAACAGACACCTGAGAGCACTAAAAGCCATTATCATAAAACCCCTATCCCAAGAGATGATGCATGTCCAGTCAGAGGCAAAAGATTCAATACATGCACAAAATATGGACAGCACCAAAGCAGTGAAATTGAATATTCATGGCAAGACTATTGACTTTAAAATTGACTCAGGAGCTGAAGTCAGTCATCTCAGAAGGGACTTACAAAACCTGACTAGCCCTGGAGGGATTCGGAACTGCATGGGCCAGTTAGGGTGACCAGACAGCAAATGTGAAAAATCGGGACAGGGGATAGGAGGTAATAGGAGCCTATATAAGAAAAAGACCCAAAAATCGGGACTGTCCCTATAAAATCGGGACATCTGGTCACCCTAGGGCCAGTCCCCCACAGAAACAACTTTCCAAGACAAAAGCTTTGCATTCAGAGTGCACATATGAGCAAAGGACCACAGACCAGCAGCCTTCTCAGCCGCAGCATGGCTGCCAGGATGGGCCTAGTGAAGAAGGTGAAAGAACTCGACTGACTATTTGGTGATATTGGACTTCTGAAAGGGGATCCGGTACAAATAACTTTAAGAGACCATGCTGAACCATATAGTGTACGTACAGATCGCAGGATTCCCATCCCGTTACTTCATAGAGTGGAAATCGAGTTAAAGAGAATAGAGTGGACTGGCATAAGCAAGAAAATCTCTGAACCAACGACATGGTGTGCTCCAGTGGTGCTGGACAGCAGACCAATCAAGGCTCTTTCTGAGCTGCTGCTTGCCTGCTATGCAAACCCCCCAGACATTGCCTGTTATTTTTTAAATCCCCCAGGGACAGAGAAAGGAGAATCAAAAAAGAGGCTGTATCCAGGGAAACCCGGACGTCTGGTAACCTAACTTCTAGCACTGGGTAACTTCCCCCTCAAAGTGAAAGGAGCTACAGTATTCTCCAACCTGAATGCCTCAAGCAGATTCTGGCCAGTTCCTTTAGCCAAAGGAAGTGCTAAACTGACTCCACTGATCACACCCTTTGGGGGACTCTGCTTTCGAATGTTACCTTGTGGGATTCCCAGTGCACCTGAAAGTTTCCAAAGAAAGATGGCAGAACTGCTAACAAACACAACACAAATGGAGATGTAGGTTTCATGGATGATATTATGGGTCTTCGATAGGAGAACACAACAAATCCTGCAACCAAGGTCTAAGCCTAATCAGTCAGTCTGGACTGAAGCTAAACAAGGAAAAGTGCATTTTCACCTACCCCAAATCAAGATTTTGGGACAGACAATAAACAAAGATGGAATCAGTCCTAGCCCTGAGAAAGTGGAACCAATTCGAGAATAGAATGCACCAACGAATGTACCAGAACTAAGACGAGTACTGGGGATGGTACATTGCCCTGGTCAATACCTACAAGACCCTTCTGTAGAAACAACCCCCCCAATTGAACTGTTAAAGTCCAACACATCTTGACTGTGGGGGCCAAACTAAGAAATTGCCTTTAAAAAGGTAAAAGAAATGATCTCAACAGCTCCAGTTCTCAAGTACTACGATGTGAACAAACTCTCAATGGTCGGTGCAAATGCAAACAAGCTACAGCCTAGGTGGTGTACTATTGCCACAACATGGTTCTGAGCAAAAGCCAGTTGCATTTTGCTCTCTCACTCACAGAAGCAGAAAAATGGCAGGCACAGATTGAAAAGGAGGGCCTGGCAAGAACATGGGCATGTGAGAACTTTCTCAGATCTCTGTGTGGACTGGATTCATTTACACAGGTAACAGACCAAAACCCCCTGGGAAACATCATCCATGGAAAAGACCTGGATCAAGCACCACTGAGATGCCAGGGCTCTTGGGCAGGTTGATCCATTTGAAAAGCCAACTCTGCCCCAGAGCATTGAATCTCAGGTTCTCCCCAGCCTTGTTCTCAGCATGGGGCGCAGCCAGCAATCCCAGGGCAGGGCTGTGCCCAGCTTGGCACCTACCTGATGTTTCGGAGGGGAAGACAAGCCTGGCCAGGTCGATGTTTCCCATCAGCACTCGCGTGTATGCTTCCTGCGTGGGACAGAACGAGTCAGGGGCCACCTGCAGCATTTGTCGTGGCTGCGGTGATAGCAATGCAGGGGGGCAGGGTGTCCATGCAGACCCACAACCCCTCTTCTGCATGGCATCAGAATTGCTCTGCTGGGGGTCCTGGGCCCTATGACTGCTAGCAGCTAATGGAAACTCTCCTCTAGCTAGGTGGTGGGGCCTGTGTTTCTGCAGCAGGGGAAGGTGGGCATGTCCCAGCTGGCGCCATGAAGTCTCAAGGCCCATGGAGTGTGGTGTTACCGCGACTGTGAAGCTCAAGCTGGCTGTGGATTTGAACAGGGTGCTGTCCTGTCCTGCTGCCTCTGGGCCCTCCAGGAGCTGGTGTCTGGGAGCCGAGAGATGGAAAGAGGAGAGGGCCCTCATTACTGACACAGCCAGGGAGTGGGGAGCCCTTGCCATCTCCCCCACCAGAGATGCACATCAGTCCAGGACTGTGGCACACAGTGCCTGGGACCCAACCGCAGGCCAAGGGCAAGGGGTCCACATATGGGCATGCTCAGTACCTTCTGGAAAGGGGTGGGCTCTCCCCAGTGGACAGTCCGGGTTATGTCCGTGGTTCCGTCCCTGCAGCAGAAGGAAAAGTCATAAGCATCCCCAGAAGCCGGGCCATGACCTTGTGAGCCTGGGACTCCCTGCCTGCAGAGCGCTGAGCCGGTCCCTCTGCCAGAGTGCAGAGCAGCTCCTGCCCTTCCTCCTGCCTGCTGTGGGACCAGAAGGGCACAGGGCTGGGCACGCCGTGGGGGAAGACGGCTCAGTGTAACCACCATGGTTTGCCTGTTTCTGGACATGGTTAATGCTGTTCTTGTGGGGACTGAGCTGAGGCAGCACGAACATGAGGCCAGGCCATACTCACAGATATTGTCCTCCGGAGTCCGACAGGTACATTTCATCCATAGACAACTTCCGGCTGCTGACGTTGGATGGACTGAAAGGGAAAACCCCCACAGTAATCAAGAGATTCCACTAACAACTCCAGGGGACACCCCAACAGCTGCCTTGTGTGCATGCTCATGTACACTCACATACGTGCTCACATGCTACAGCGGGCCAGTCCGAGGGCGTGGAGAGACAGATAGAAATGGGAAAGCTCTGCAGGCTGCAGGTCTCCTTCCCCTAAGAATGCCCATCTGTCCAGGTGTGCACCCAGCCCTCCTCACCACAGCATCAGAGCACCCCACTGTGTGGCAGCAGGGCCCCCCACACGCCATGTGTGCAGCGGGGAGCTGAGGGGAGCATGGCATTCAGCTCTGAGAGGGCTGCAGCTGGCTTCCCTCTCTAGGGCAGGGAGCCCCACTACCTGGCCCCAGCTCCTGGGGCAGTTCTGTCTCCTGCCCTGCTGGCTGAAAGATTCCTGGTCCCGTGGGCAGTGGGTGGGGGGAGGTCCCGGTTGTGGAGGGCACCAGGGCCCGTCCCAGTGGCACTGATCCCGTCCATGGAGAGGCTGCTCCATTGGTACCTGTAGTGGGCCAGCGCTGCGTTGAGCCCACTGGCAGAGATGGTCTCGAAGCTGGCGCCCCTGCAGTGCTCCTTCTCTCTGGAAAGGAGAAAGGATCCCAGGAATGCGGGAGGGATGAGACAGTGCAACCAGGCCTCTGGGGGCGAGGAGGGGGCTGTGTGGCTGCCTCCAGGGACTGGGAGGGCAGGGGGCATGGCTGGGCCCTACAGACCCAGGAGGGGCCAGATCAAGCCCTGGGGAGGGTGCAGCTGGAGTGTGAGGAAGGGTAATCTAGCTGGGCCCTGGCACTTGGTTCTCTGGGCTCCCTCTCCCCCCCGCCCCCGCCCGCCCCCAAGCCATGCATTCCTTCTTCCTCTTGGTTCCCGGCCTGGGGGTGGTCTGGGGAAGGGAGGGCAAGGCAGGCTGGGGCTCGCCCTGGCCATCTCCCCCCAACACATCTCTCCTGGGGCCTGCTCTCCCCTCAGGTGGTGTACAGCTGCCAGGAAATGGAAGGGTGATCAGCCTATTTCTTCCAGCACTCAGCTCTACGACACCATCAGACTTCAACATCCCCTCACCACTAGGGGGCGCTGTTGGCCTATATAAACCTGGCCAGTGGAATGCTGGCCATGGGCACCCTAATGCCTGCCCTCCATGCGGCGCTGCCCCAACAGGGCACAGGGGTCTGTAGGAGTCCCTGTGCGGTCGTGGCCATGCCCTGCTCACCGTGGGGGGCACCAACACAGAGCAACTCCCTCCCTGGTCACTAAGGGCTCGTGCGGAGTGTGGGCCCCAGAGCCAGATCCTGCCGCATGGGCCCATCTCCCATGAGGTCTGTGGCCCAGTCAATGTCCCATAGGGGCGGGAGTGGGAATTGCCAAGCTGGAGCCCGGGCAAGGGTCACGCTTGTACTGACCTTCGTAGCTTGTCCACATACCGAGCGCCGGAGAATTCATCCACCAACCCCTTGGGAACGTTCTTCTCCAGCCAGAGCAGGTACTGGATCACGGCCACGGCGTCCCGCACCTGGGGGCGACCCGCCGGGAGCCTGATTCTCCCAGGTGAGAGAAGCACCAGGCCCTTTCCCATGCCAGCCAGTCCTCACCCCCAGGCCAGCCCCTCTGCAGAGTGAGAGCCAGCTCCTGCCAGCACTTACATGGGCTGCTCTCAGCAGCGTCTGCTCCTTGGCATTCTTCACTGCCTTGGTCGTCATCACGGGGGAGTAGCTGCTTTCCACCAGCTTGTCCTGCAATGGGCAGGATGGGCCAGGTGTCAGCTGGCCAGAGGAACGAGGCTTGCCAGCCATGCTGCCCCTGAGTGCCCTGTGCATGCTGGGAGCAGGGGGACGGCTATTCCCCCGAGCTGCTGGCACACAGCAGCACAGCTAGAGCCTGTGGCGGCTCCAGGCCCTGTACGTACCACCTGGCAGAAGAACTGGCTGGTTTCTGGGGGGGCAGTGGATTGCGAGTCACACACCTGGGGCCTCTCACCCGCCCCCCACACACACACCCAGGGCCTCTCAACCCCCTCCCCTCACACACCCGGGGCCTCTCATCCCCCGCCCCCCCCACACACACCCAGGGCCTCTCAACCCCCTTCCTCTTACATACCCAAGGCTTCTCAACCCCCTCCCCTCACACACCCAGGGTCTCTCAACCCCCTTCCCCTTGCACACATGGGGCCTCTCACCCCCTTCCCTTCGCACACCTGGGGCCTCTCACCCCCTCCCCTCACACACGGGGGCCTCTCACCCCCACTTCCCTCGTATACCTGAAACTTAACCCCCCTCCCCTTGCACACGCAGGCACATCACTGCTGTCCCCTCCTTGCATGCCAGCTCCTTACATGGGTAATGCTACCCCTGGTGCCCCTCACACAGGCAGATTTGCCAAAGCCACACCTAGCCCTGGGCTGGCTCGGCCTGTCCTGCAGACGCGGAAGAGAGGAGGTGGCAAAGGCCTAGCCCCTTGGTACCGGGAGAGCTGGGGCCAGCGCTCACCTGGGGGATCACTCCGTAGAGCCCATAGGTCGTGTATTCCGTCCCGATCCAGACCCGGACGTCTCCCTGGGCATAGGCCTGCACGCTGGCTTGCACCTGGTCATACTCCTCCACCTGCACGCACAAGGGCCCCGGGCACTGTGCGCTCAAGGACTGCAGCGCCTCCGTGCTCAAGCGGTTCCTGTCCACAAACAGACTGGGGGGAAGGAGCTCAGCTCAGCTAGGCTCAGCTGCGGCCCCCACCACTGTCCAGATTGGGGATGTGGGCCAGTCCTTGGAGGATTCACGGGCTCAGAGGGGATGGGGCAGCTAGTACGGTCCCTGGGGGACGTGCTGGGGCTCAGAGGAGCTGGGGGAGCCAGCCTGATCCCTGGGGGACACTCTGGGTCTCAGAGGGGCTGGGGGGCCAGTAACGAGGGATGTGCTGGGGCTCAGAGGGGCTGGGAGAGCCAGCCCAGGCCCCACGGGATGTGTGGGGATGGGGAACTGCTCTGTACCTGATGTCTGATGTGGTCAGCAGTGCGTAGGAGAAGAAGACAGGGTTGTACGAGATGTCATCTCCTCGGAGATTGAAGAGCCCTGTAGGAACAAAGGTGTTATAGACCCTTCCTTGCACACCAGGTTGCCTACCCTGCCCTGGCCTAGCGTCGCTCCCCGCTGGGTTCCTGGGACAGTGCTGGCAGAGGGTATGGGCACGAAGTGACACTAGAGTGGTGCCATCGGTCAGGACCAGCACAAGGGGCGCGGATCTCACCCCTGTAACATTGAACAGCCAGGCCAGGCAGGCAATCTCGGCTTGCTGCGGGATGCCCAGCAGGGAAGCTGCTCTGAGTGGTGCTGAGGGCATTGGAGCAGTGTTGAGGGGCTGGGAGGGTCTGAGGGGTGTTGGGGGCAGTGGGGGGCTGTTGGGGGGCTGGGAGGATCTGAGGGGTGTTGAGGGCACTGGGGGGCTGTTGGGGGGCTGGGAGGGTCTGAGTGGTGCTAAGAGCCCTGGGGGGACTGTTGGGTGCTGGGAGTGGCTGAGGGTTGCTGAAGGCACTGGGGGGCTGTTGGGGGGCTGAGCGGGTCTGAGTGGCGCTGAGAGCAGTGGGGGACTGTTGGGGGGCTGGGAGGGTATGAGGAGTGCTGAGGGCAGTGGGGGGCGTTGGGGGGCTGCAGCGCTTACAGGCCGTCTCCTCCAGAGCTGACAGCACCACGGCTGTGGGACTCCTGGAGTGCTTCTCCATCTGGCTCCGGATCCCGGACACTTTCTCCTGCCAGGTGCTGCCTGAAAGGACAGTGGGGGTCAGGCATGCGAGTCAGGTACATGCAGGGCCCCCTTGTGAGCCCCTGGCCCATCCCTGCCGGGCTGGAGGGCATTCGTTCCTCCAAAGCTCTCTCTGTAGCCTCCCATAAATGCTGTGCCCTCAGCGAACAAGCCAAGGACATCCCTGCCTGACCCAGCCCAGCCAGACTCCTCCAGGGGAGCCCAAAACATCTGGAGACCTCCGGGGAGCACAGGCACCTCCCTGGGGCCAGCTGTGTGCGTGGCACTCAGACTTCTACCCTCCATCAGCATGAACAGGTACACCCTGCTGACATCCCGGCATGCCCGGTAGCACACAGGTGATCACTCCCCAGTGTCACCAGCAGGGGGCGCCAGAGAATGGGCTCACGTGCCACGCCCACCCGCAGGGAGCGAGTACCGACCTGTGAAGGTCTCTGGCAGGAGGTAGATCTTGCTGGTGGGCGAAGGAGGCCGCTGCGTGCCCCACACCAGGTCCACAAGGTTGTCCTCGATGGGAACCAGGGTCCTGCTGGAACCCTGCAGAACGTGGGCGTAACTGTTCCAGAGATCTGAAAAGGGATGCTTCTGTCAGTTAGGCTCTGAGATATGGTCAGTCTGCTGCGCCCTCCCCAGGCACTGCTCCGGCCAAGGCTTCAGGGGTGAGAGCCAGGGCAATGGGAGCTGGGCTGCAGTATCAGGCCCTCCACCCCCTGTCCTAGGCCTTAGGGGCAGGTACTGTGGAATGGGAGAATGGATGCTTGGCTCCTCAGGGCAGGTAGGAGATGCAGGGAGCAGGGGCGATACCAATGGAGAAGAGGAAGGGATCCAGTCCAATGTTCTCGCCAGCGGGAATCTCCTGGAGCAGCCACTCGCCGATGGAATCAGTCCAGACTGCAAGACAGGGCACAGCATAGTGGCACGCGGGTTCTGGGGGCGAGGGGAGATGGGCAGGCAGGGAAGAGAGAGCAGGGCCAGGCGTGGGGGCAGGTGGCATACCTGGAGAAAGGCTCACAGGTCCATAGCTGCTGGGCTGCCAACCTGGCTCTGCCAGGAGCCCAGGGCTCTGAGTCACTGCTAGACTGGCAGCCTCATGGTACCAGAGGCTGCTGTGTGCCAGGCTGGGTTTGCCCGCAGCTGTGGAGACCAGGGCTCCCCAGTGAGAGGCTGGGACTCCCCAGCACTAGGCACTCATGGCAGCGGCAGGGCACAGAAAGGCTGCTGAGGCCCTGAGACTGAGGGCGGTTCTGGGACTGGAGTGGGCAGCAGAGGTCGGGCTTGGCACAATCTCCCTGCCCATCGTAGCTACTGACCTATCTTCTGTAGCTCCCAGTTGCAGTCCATCTGGCGCTCAGCCTGGGTCCAGTACCGACTGTCTGTCCACAGAGCCGCCTTCTTTGTTGTCACTACCCCTGTCCCTGAGACGGGAGAGGAGAAGGCTCATTAGCCCGGCCTTTGCAGACACCAGTGGTGCCAGTCAGGGGTGCTGTGGGGAGGGAATGCCCCTCCCAAGGGGGTTGAGGGAGGACCTAGTGGGCGCCCTGTTGTGGGGGTGGGGCCCGGAATTTGCTCCCCCAAGGAGTCTGTGAATTGGTGCCACTGGCAGGCACGACTCACTGCCCCTTCCCTCCCAGAGGGGTTCTTGTCAGGACAGTTGCTGGGGGCGGGCGACTCAAGCAGGGACCCGTTAGCCCCAGTGCCTAGTGCATCACTTGCCCTCTTGCTAATGCAGGGAGGGGCTTGCGTGGCACTGCACGCTGGCCTGTTCTGCAGCTTCGCACAGAACAAATGACCCATCTTCCCAGCCTGCCTCTGCGGCGATGGCAGTGGGCAGCAGGATGGTGCCATATGCCAAGAGCTGGCGGGCGCAGATCGCAGACCCATAGCCCTGGAAGGGACCTCAAGGGGTCATCTACCCCACCCCGCTGCGTGGGCTTCCCCTTGCTGGGACTCCCACCTGCCTCCAGGGCAATAGGGACATGGGAAGCACCCATGTTCTCACCGGCCCCCCAGGGCTCCTTGCCCCGCGCCAGCACATGCCCCCCTCACAGTAAGTGATGCTGTAACCTCAGTGCAGTGAGCCTGACAGGGGAGCCTGTTCCCGCGGTTCTGCCTGCTGCCCATCAGTGCCCGTCCTCAGCCCCCTTTCTCCTCCAGACACTGCCCAGACAGGTGGCAGCAAGACAGCTGGTTCCAGGAGGCCCCCATAGCCTCAGCAGTGCATGGGCTGGCTTCCCCTCGGCAGCTCGGAGCCCCTCTCTGGCTAACAAGGAGTGCAAGGGATGGCCGACCCAGGGTCTGTATGCTACGGAGGGGGCAGGTCTGTCCAGAGCTAGGTCTCAACCACCCCTACCCTGGCTGGGACGCAGTCAGCTGGAGAGCTTGGGGCCTGGTTACTTTGTGGCCTGGGCATGGAAATGGTCCCCTGCAGGTCAGGGAGAGAGCACACAGGTAGAGGCGCCTTGTTCGGAGGGGGAGCTGTGAGGGGATGGGCCCACCAGGGACATAATGAGGGTGCAGCTTGGCTAGAGGGCCCTTGGGGTAGGGGGATCCACAAATGGGGGGCGGGGAAGGTGAACGGGAACTCAGACAGGCTGTGGAGACGCGCTCACCTGCAGATCCCGTGAAGCCACTAATCCACGCCAGCCGTGCATCCCGCTCAGCAATGTACTCGCTCTGGGACACAGAGAGACATGCCATGACAGCGCATGCCTGCCCCCTCCCCCCTGCAGAGACATGCCATCACAGCGCACGCCTACCCCCCACGCAGAGACACGCCATCCCAGTGCACGCCTGCTGCTGCACTCAGAGACACACCATCAGGGCGCACGCCTGCCCCCCCCGTGATGTAGTGGGGATTTTCCCTTGTTAATGTTGTATGTGAACCTAAGTGAGTCTTACTGTTGTGCATGAATGCTGTGTGTGCCTCAGTTTCCCTGTGTATTGCACCAATGTCTAGGTCAGAGGTGGGCAAAGTACGTGGCCCGCGGGACCGTCCTGCCTGGCTCCTGAGCTCCTGGCCGGGGAGGCTCGCCCCCGGCCCCTCCCCTGCTGTTCCCCCCTCCCCTGCAGCCTCAGCTCACTGTGCCGCCGGGCAGCTCAGCACCGCGGGGGTGGGGGCAGGGGAGAGCAGGGAGGGAGGCTCACCCACAGCCTCAGGGGAGCAGGCGGGAGGTGCGGGCGGCAGGAGTGCAGCGAACGCGGGTGGAGGACTCAGGAGGAGCACTGGGCGGCCATGCAGCTGGCCGGAGAGAAGCAGTGCGGCTGCCCCTGCTCCTCCTGAGTCCTCCGCCCATGTTTGCAGAGCCACATTCTGAAAGGGGCTGGGGGTGTGAGTTTGGACAGGGGGTGGGGTCCCAGGGGGGCGGTTAGGGGCAGGAGGTCCCAGGAGGGGGCGGTCAGGGGACAGGGAAGGGGGGCAGTTAGGGGCAGGGGGTCCCAGGAGATGGCGGTCAGGGGACAGGGCGGGGGGGTTAGATAGGGGGTGGGAGTCCCGGGGGGC